GGGAATGCTTCTTGTATGGGCAAACTCCACTATAGTTGAAGGCCTTCTCTTCTTAGAGGCCTTATCTTAGGGTCCTCATCTCATGCTTCATTCCTCATGCTTTCGCTTTATATCTGTATAACGACTTAAAGAAATTGAGTCAAAGAGAATAAATTAAGCACATTTTAAACGCTTTTGTGGCATTAATTTCTTTAAGTAGATACAAAATATCCAAGCGCGCGAGAATGGAAATGGCTCTCCGAGTTTGCGAACTCCCCAGAAAAACAGTGAAATGTCTCATGAATTATATTTACTTAAAAAAATGGCTGTCAGCACGCCATTCTCTCCAACCAAGTTAAACGGAAAGAATGATGATGACAATTTCTTAGAACACGGGAAAAAAGTATTAAAAAATGATTTCCTGCTTCGTTAGAATAATATATTATAGTAAATGTGATTACCCTAGAGCAGTGGAGGTTTCAACTTGGAGTGCATGCACCCCTCCAAAGCGCTAGATACTTTTTACGGGGTGCGAGACGTCTAAAATATGTATAATTAATAACAGAAATGCCAAAAAATATTGCTTTTTATCTAACAAATAGTACTTTTGAGCCATTTCTTAAAAATATAAGTTGTTAGTATAGAGATAAAGTAGGGCCTAGAGCCCTAGACCAATCAAATTTGTGACTGTTCTCTTCTAAATCTATAAAAATTATTAATAAAACAAATCAAACTAGACTTTTCACCACTCTTATCGTACAAAAGTATAATTTATAACATTTTCTTGTCATTTTTTTACATAAAAAAATACTTAAAGATTAATAGCTTTTGAAAGATTTTCTGCAGATTAAAAAACTTTTAGTAAAATATTTAAAAATTTACAAATATTTCATAAAATTGTTTATAATTACGCTTTAATAACGTTTTCCTCAACAAAATTACAAAAAAATATATATAAAAATACAACATAAAATGAATGAACAATGAAATTGTAATCGAAATTGAGTCATGGCTTGAGAAATGTTGATCTGTCGCTTAGTTCTAGTCAAACTACGCTTAGGTACATCGTTTTTAACGTGAAAAGAAGGTGCAACAAACAGGAAGATGAGAAGCGCTTGAAGGATTTTGCGTCCATCCAACATGGCTCGGTTTTTTGGAATAAACCCATCGACTAACTTCGACTACTTGGAAAATTCGATTGTTCTACTTACCTCAAATACCTTCTTTNTACAAGGATGTTAACAGTTGGAAACACTCGTTTTTTTTTATAGAAAAATCGCTACTGAATCAATATTCTTTTCCTGCTTCAATTATTCTATTACTTTCAGTCGAGGAAAAATTGAAAAAAAAATTCGTATATACAAAATTGTTATTATGATCGACTAGTTTTTATATATTGCCATATATTTGACACAAAATTTCCTTGAACATTATTTCAATTTCCATAGTTTCGAGATGGTAGATCTTTGTTTTTTCTGAAAAAAAATATTTAAATTGCCTAAACAATTAATTTATGGGTGATTAATATAAAAAAATTATTATTTTAAATACCCGTTCTTTTAAAATCATTCGCCAAATTTCATAAGAGCATCTTCTATTGCTTTCATCAACTTGACGAAATCTTCTCGTGGTAACGATCTCTTTTTTCTTCCAGTAGCTACAGTGGCGGTGTTTCCACCATTCATAACCGAAGAAAAGGCGGACATAAAGAATGTGAACATAGGACCTGCCACGACGGCCAAACCTGTAGCGGAAGCCACTCCGAGTCCAATTAAAAACAGCACCACTTCTTCTAAACCGATTCCACTCTGTCTTGATGTGGTTACTCCTTTGGTTTCTCGAGCCACTTCGTTACATTTGCCCATAGTTAATAATGTCCAAATGCAGAATAAGAGCAGCATTTCTAAAAAATTAAATATAAATCTTTAAGTACAGTATAATAAACTTGTAGCAGCAATCCAAAGAAGCCATCATTTAGGCTCGTAAGAAGTCAAAATAATACCAAACATTTTATAAATTAATTGGTTTTAATTAAAGACGAATAAAAAATGAACCTCACAACAACGGCCACTTCTAAACAGTGGCAATTTTTTCAGGAACATTTGGTCTTCTAATAGATAATGCTCTTAATTTATGCATTGTAAAAGAGCAAGATCTCCTGAATGATTCAAGTTTTCATTACGTAAATTGTATAGATATAAAGAAATTTATACTATGTTCTTATAATAGGCTAAAGCCTAGTATAAAAAGCCTATCTCACTCATAAAATTACAGTGAAACCTCTGAACAACGGCCACTGATGGGAATATAAAAAGTTTTCGCTATTCGAATATGGCCGTTGTTTGTACGTTATTTTACATTAATTTCAAAAAAGAAACGTTCCTGAAAAAAATGGCCGCCATTTAAAGGTAGCCTTTATTGGATTTTCGACTTATTTATTAATTACAATATTCTAAAAATTAAAACACATTATTATTCCTTATAAAAAGAAAAGCCTTAATAGGGAGATAATTAGTTAATTCTTTTGAATATTAACTTACTTGTATAGTAGAATATCAAACCGTGAGGATATACAAAACGTCAATACAGAGAAGAACAAACAATATAGTGTTATATATATTCACCACACCCCAATATATAAAGGGTCTGGTTCGTTAATTCAACAAAGTTTTCGGCTCCTTGACGTTGTGTAGGGTCGATGTATTGTTCCGGAAGAGAACATCAAAATTAATATGAACTAAGAAATATAGCTTGGGTGTTGCGTAAACACAGAGAAAACATTCACACGAGGTCATTAGTTTTTCGCCATTTTTTTAATTAAAATTTACCATAAAGATACATTATTTAAAATAAATAAATAAATACATTTGTTTATATAATTACAAACACACTTGAGAAAGTTTCATCCAGCGTAAGAGACTTTTTATTTAATTTATTATTTACATTATTGGTTGAGAATTTTCGAGATATATTCTTAAATAATATAATTTATAATAATATTTTAACTATTTTTTCGATTTATTCTTAGAAAACAGCTTTAGAAATCGGTAGAAAGATCGCCGTTTTTCTTCTCTTAATAAACTTGGCTTGTTTGCTGTGTAAGGGAGTAGCAAAACACTTGGAACTATTTTGCCCCACGTTCTTAAAATGGTGTACATTTTTTCTGCCGCGGATACCCAAGTTACTAACCAAAAGGGGTTATAGATTGTATGAACCCAAAGTCCGTTAAACTTTCTACTTTCTGCAGTGTCAGTCGTGTTTGTTGCTCCAATCACTTCGGTTAATAGTAGTAGCAATGTAAAATAAATCAGCAACATAATTAATCTGTAAATAAACAGTTTTTTTATTATAAAAACACTGTTAAATTATATTTTATATATTGAAACTTTCTAAGAGGCGAAATTATGTGGGTGAGTACAGTACCCAGGGTACTGTACTCACGGTTGTAGAGGCCTCACTCAGTAGCGTTTTCTATTTAATTTAAACTGTATTTATAAATAAACCCTTCTATACGGTGGTGGATTAAGCCTTCAAGGGGCCTCTAGGTACAGAAGATTGAGATCTCTGTACATGATTTTATAATGAAAAAAGGGCCTCTTATATGTTATTACTTAAGGTTACGAGTCTAAATTCATTCCTGAGTTTAATAACTATGTAAATATGATTTCATAGTGTATATACGCAAATGAGGATAGTTTTTAAAGGTTAACTGACCTTTGGACCACCCAATTTTATAAAGTACAGTCGAACTCCTGAACAATGGCCAACCGATAAGGCCTTTATTTGCAGGTTTCTTGTATGTATTTTTGTTTAAAGAAAGTGCCTGTAAAGAAAATTGGCCGCTGTTTAGAGGTGGTCATTATTGGAGGTTTTTACTTTATATAGGCCTATATTAAAAATTTTTATCTATAAAATAACAATTGATTTAGAAAATATAATTTTATTGTTTTTCCTGTTTTTTCCTTTTTTTTCCTTTTTAAATAGTTAAAGATTTCTAAGAAACAATTTATTCTATATTACCTCATAATTATAATTTTAATGCATACGAATGATCTTTATTTAGGTAATATAAAAAACAATATTCTTCTTAAAATAGATAAAATTATCTCCATCAATATCAGATTTTAATGATCATATTATATCATCAGAATATTTTTCTGTCCTCATTATAACGACATTGTCCTATAGGCCTACTGATAATTACCTCGTAACTACGCCACGTAATTTTATTATAACGCGAATTAAACTAAGTAAAAATGAAGAAATATTAATTATGATTAAGTAAAAATAGTTTAATTATGAATTAAAAGCTTTTTTTTCTCAAATTTATCCAAAGTTTGATAACTAAACTTACCTGTTTCAGTTTAACTTACGAATTGACTTATATTATACTGTGTAACCGGTTAAAAATCTATATCCGGGTGAGGAAATCTGGTATACTGACCTTGTTACGAGTAAACTGTTAATTTAAGGTATTTTCCCTTAAATATTTCGCCTGAAAAACTGCCAAAATTCAGCTTGTGCCAAGTATATTGTATACAAAGTCCCGTTGTGTATAAGCTAATATAATATTGCCTGCTTATGTCTGTGGTAATTTTCCTGCTTCTTGACCTGACCTAAGAATAAAGTTTTGTTCTGCTAGAACAACTACTTTAATTCAATATTATTATATAATTTTCTATAGTAGTCCACTCTTCATCTTTCTCCCTTCAGTAAATCCCATTTAACAAGCCCTTTAACAAGTCCTTTAACAAGCTCAAACTAATTAAAATGGTAGGATTTTATATTAAATGAGTTATTTTGGGGGGAGTAAACTAAATTCTTAACTATTTAAAAAAATATTTTTATAGATTTTAATAGTTTAAAGTAATAAAATTTCAGGTTTTTTACGGTCTAACTTCACTCATCTTTCTCGTTCGTGCAGAGAACTAAAACGATTTATAAACAAATAAAAAAAAAATGAATTTATTTTCAAAGATATTAACATACAGACATATTGAATTATATATTTATTTTGACAAATAAATTATTTAATTAAATAATAGAAAGCTTTAATTGTATGTACAATAACATGAAAGTGATTTTGGATACAGATTATTGCTTCACAAAAATCTATTATCCTTAGAAACAGCCATTTCAACTTCGCGCCATAATTTAAATATTTCAGTTAATAATTCAGGATGAATGTTTAACAGAAATGGTAATTTATTATAGGAGGATGCACGCCCTCCGTTAACTCCTGCCGCACCTCCTCCAGCTCCGTTTCCATTCATGGCTTGCATCATTGCCATCATACTCGTTAACAGGCTCGCACCAGTTGGCATTAGAATAGCGGCTGCAGCTAAAGCACCAGTTACTCCTAATAGAAACAATTTCAGCAAATCACCTCCTCCTCCCGACTCCTTTTCTGCCAGCCATAACATCTCGTGTCCTCCTCCTCCTCCTCCTTTGTAGCTCCTACCTTCGATATCGAAGTGCTGTTGAAGTGTTACGTTATTTGCACTTGCTACATACATCCAACAGCATGTCTGTAAAACTAAGGCAGAAGAAAGGAGCATTGTTCATCTGGATTTTGGTATTGCCACTAATTAAAAAAAGAATTAAAAAAAATCAGTATAAATCAAGAATATAAGAATAAATATGCCCATGTTTTTTTTACTTGGGATTACAGTTTAAATGAAAGAGAAGTACAGTACAGACTTTAATTTTTAATTATTTTCTTTATTTATTAAAATAAATAACCTCAAAATTCTAGTTTAATTTTAAATGAATTCATCCCTCTTGTCCTCGACATTTATTAATGCCTAAAGGCGATATTTTTTTTACAACTTCCGCATTAGGAATCAACATAACCTTAAGCAATATCGAATTATAAATAATTCCTGAAATTTTTAGCAATTTATTCTCGATAGATCCGCTTTACAATTATATTCAGGTATGCGATGAAGTTACTGCGGGGCGAAACACATTTTTGGGAATGACACATTTATTTTGTTTTCCAAATATAAAGGTCAAATACTATAATAAATGAGAAAATTGTATACGTAATTTATTATTTTTATGTATAATTTTCAATATATCATACGAATTTTTAACTTTATAACATTACACATTAAAAATTCTAATGAGAATTTAAGTGAGTGAACTTAAAATAATAATAATTAAATAATTAATTTAAAGAGAAAATTTAAGACGTAAAAGTTAAATAAAAAAGTTTACTTTAAAATTTAATTTAGTAATTACGATAATGACGCGAATTTTTAGTTAATTATGATAAAAAAAAAATAATAATTAAATAAATCTTTTAATATCTACCTTTCTGGGGAGTCCAACAGCAAATTCACCTTACAACAATCAGAAAATGTTAAATATCCAACAGCGTGTTACATGATGATGGTATTTTATAGCGACCTTTGTTATACATGAGAGGCATTATTTGACCTTTTGTTTGCATTCAACGCACGCACGCGACTTTAGACTTCCCTTCTTCACTTCCATGAGACAAATTCAATAATAAAATCACTCAGTGAATCGTTTGATGGGAAATTTACCGATTTTTCTGTACTAAAATCAAGTTTCTTGATCTTCCTGGCATTTAGGATCCTTATAGAATTCTCCTTGAAGTCAGCACTTCTTGAACTACATTCTTTATTAATTACCCAAAATAACCAATTCCATAGAGAAAAATTAAGCTTTTAGAAGATGTTTAACAAATTTTATGGTAATAAATTTGAGGATAAGAAGTAATAGAGTGATGGGTGTAAGTTGAATAAAAAGTATCTCACGAATTGTCACTTTTTTGATAGAAATGGCACGCGATACTGTGCCACTGCAACGGATCGCAATATACTTTGCATATACTTTATGCACTTGTAATTAACGTTAATTGTAAATGGCCGGAATTATAATAATATATAGGTTTATATGTACAAAAATACAAAAAAATATATTGTTATTTTTAATTCGGTTTTAACTGAAAACGATTGATAAAGCTCGTGTAAACACCCCCTTTTAAATAATGTAGCCTTATGTATACTCGATGGGAAATAATAAATAAAATATAAAATTATTTGTTTATAAGGTTTTTTTCTAAAGATTAATGTTCAGTTTTAAAATTTTAACTTGAAATTATAAGTCTATAGCTTAGGGTCTCACATTTTTAAATGTATATCATCATATGGTAGAGAGGTAGGGCCTGTTTCGAGACGTTAGGTATTAATTTCCTTAAATGTTTTTATTGTGAAACAGTTTTATACGTTTATATAATACATTTATTAATCTAAATATACAATCAAACCTCGATAAATAGCGCCACTCTTGTATAATGCTAATAAATAGTTGTAAATATTAAATACAAAACCTTTTAGAGTCTATCAATTAATAAAAAATGTACAATTTGTCATCACAAACAACATAATTATCACCAAATCATGTCACTTAATTCACAAATTCATATGTAGATCTCATTGTTGTATATAAATCCTTTATTATTTCAGATAAGAGACACTTCAGTTTAGCTTCATACTCGATTTAGTGACAGTTTCGGAAGCAATAAAATAAGTTTTTCTTTCTCTCTTTTCTTTTTGGATCTTTGAGGACACTAAGATGACGTTTTTCCATACCCATTGTGGGTTCTGCCAGGCCCAAAAGATGGCAACCGGTGGTGAGGAAGGCCCCACAAATTCGGACGAGCAATGTGAAATTTTCGATGCTTTCTTCATGTGTCTAAAGTGTATTGCATTACCTTATCCCACCAAACACACTAATTATAAAAATTATTGTTCAAAATCAATAGTATTTTATTATTAACCTCTTAAAAAGATTCTTTTAATGTCCATAGAGCAGAAACAAATCAAAAATAAATTTTGTAAGGGATTAATCTTATCGAAATAATTTTATAATTAATTAATTAATTAACAGTTAAAAATTCAGTTTTAAAATTTTAAAAAATAAACGGATTTTAAAATAATTGATCAGATAATTAATGATTAATATTGTTGCAGATTCCGGGTTCGAATCCCTAACTAATATTCAGCTTAATTGTGATTTTTCCCCCCGTTATCTCTTTATTCAACAGCGACCGAGTTGATAAAGCCGCCGAACATTGATAATTGATCACGGATTTTTCGGATTTTCTTCACGTAAATATACGAAATAATTGTATAATATAGATATTTTATGTATTAAATGCACGTAATTTCTTCTAAAAATCATTATAAAAATGCAATTTGAAATATTTATTACAGTAGGGCCTCGAAAACTCGGCCTAATGTGGACCGAAGGGTGGCCGAGTTTGTGAAAATGCCGAGTTATCGGGAATGGGGTTAAAAAAAGATAAGTATGAGTGTTTCCTCAGAAAATATTGTACTGTACTTGTATGTATTGTTTGCTTGAGAATACAACAGAGAATAAACTGCCCAAATACCCTTAAACAAAGGAAAAGTACATACTTTATGAAGGCATAGAGCCTTTACTACATGAAAATGAAAATTAATGAATACACTGTGTACAGTAATTTACCTGATAAGACAGGCCTCAGAAAAATACTTTATGAGGCATAAAACTGTTTATAATGAAAATTAATTAACTAAGGATTATTTTTGCCCTGCCAGGGTGTGGCCGAGTTATCCGGAGTGCCGGGTTATTGAGTGCCGAGTTTTCGAGGCTCTACTGTATTAAATAAATGATTAATGTAGTAGTATAAAGTTAAGATGGTGTCAATAATTTAAATATGGAAATAAATACACTGTTAAAATTTTCAAAAATTTCATAAATTTAATGCATATTTTTATGTATAAATCGTACATCAGTAAAAAAATTCCACAAGATATTGGTTATAGAAATAAGTTACTCTACGTTTTATCCATATGAGTATTTTGTTCAAACTTTACACAAGTCAATATTATGTATTCCATATAAAATACAACTAAAAATACATACAAACATCAACTGTTTTTAATCAAAACTAATGAGAAACAATCCTTTCTACTTAAACAGAGGTATATTCTTTCCTATTTTAAATATACCATAACAGCATTTCGATCTTCATTCTTCTTAAATTAAATGCTTAAATATAGGCCTATATATTTTATCATAAATATTACGATTTAAAAAAAAAACAAATTAAATTAGAAGACATCACCAAAATTCATTTTTCGAAAAGGCCAATTCCGCTTCGTTCCATATATTGAAAAGTTCTTTTTCTAAATCCGGGTGAATGTTTAAAATTTCTAATATTTCGCTTCTTTTCACTCTTCCTCCTCCATTCATTCCATTAGCTGCACCATTTCCGTTCATTGCTTGCATCATGGCCATCATACTCGTTACTAAACTAACTCCTGAAGGTACCAGAAGCATGCCAAAGAGCAAAGGAAGAAGCAATAGAAGACATACGTGCAAAAGATCGTTTCCCGAATCCTTTTCTGCTACCCAATACATGTCGTGTCCACCATGTTTAATGCTACGAGCTTCAAAACTCGTATTGTTTCCATTTACCAAAGGCATAGATCTAAATGCCAATGTTATCCATAGAACCGAGATTTGCCATTGATTCATTGCTCATCTGGATTCTAGAAGAAATAAGAAAAATTAAATATTTAAACTAATTATTCTAAGTAAAGTGTTCCTTTTTTTTAAAGTGTAGTTTAAGAAAAACAATAAACTTTGGCACACTTACTTTGGTTCTAGAGCTACAAATCCAAGACTAATTTCCCTTACCTGAAACGAATTATATAATATTACCGACAATGTGTAACACGATGGAGTTATTATATAGCGACCTTAGTTATACATGATGGATATCAACATCTGACCCTTTTGTTTGCCTTCAACGCTCGCACGCGCCTCATACTTCCCCCTCTTCTCTTCCATGCACTCAATTTAATAATAAAAATCACCCAATGGATCACTTGTTGAAAAATTAACCACTTTTTCGCATCCGATTACCAATTTTCTACGAAACGAATGATGAAATCTTCGACAAACAAATTAATGATTATAAGGTAAATAGGGTGTAAACATTAATTTGATTCATCGAATCTTTTAATCGAATATATTCAATAGAAGGCCTAAGAGGTGTAGTATCTATTTTCCGGTAATGTATTTTATACGAGGAAGTTGTTATGGGTAACGGTGCAAAAAGAGATAAAAAAGTTTTTCTCTCGAATTGTCACTTTTTGAAGGGGGAGAGACACGCGAAGAATTCAAAAAATACTTCACAAATATATAATTATATTTTTTCGAAACAATAATATAGTGTATGTATGCCTCTATGACTTTTTAAAATGGTCTACGTTTCTACCATTATGAATTTCTTTTAGTGTATTGCTGACATTTCGGAATAGAAACAAAAGTTAAATTTTATCTAAGTTCAGTTTGGTATTAAGATACCGTATCGAAGATAATAATATCATTTTATTGATGATCCTTCCTTCATAGAATGTACAGTATATTGTTAAATATGATAGTATGAAATAGATTTTTAAATCAAGGCTTTATCTCTAGCTATGTATATACATATATGAAAGTCAAGATATATATTGGGTGGTCCAAAAGTCAGGAATTTGTGGCTACCATAGTCATAAGATACGCGATAACTATGTCATCTACAATTAAAAATCGTATATTTAATAATTCACAGGTAATGAAGGGTCTTCTGTTTAATATCTACGTTTACAAGTACAGTACTTGTTGGTACTTTACGAGGGTGGACCTATTTGTGAGGACGCTATATAGAAGTTTGTATACAGTATATATCGATGAGCAAGCGGGATCATTTTACCTCTAATTCAATACACCAAAGATTTTCTAAAATTTAATCTTTCGTATAAAAACATGGTACAAAAATGATATAATTTAAAACCAGAGTTGCTGGCCAGCAGCCATTTTTTTCGCGCTTTGCCTGGGGCAATGAGTTATTTCAAAAGTTAAAATGGTCACGTTTTACAAAGCACTAAATTAGTTTATTTAAATCGTCCGCACTGTCAACATCTTTTTTGCGCTAGTACCAAAAACTTTCACTAAATCTAGTGCAAAAAAGTGCTAAGATGGCAACATTGATTGCACTGTGAACGCCCTCGAGCGGCTGTTTTGTCATCGAGTAGTTCACAGAAACAAATAAGACAATATCCTGGGAAAACCGGAAATCGAATCCGGAGGATAAGCCCTAAGAATTTTTCATGGGTGATTTGCCCCAAATTTGCCGGGTCCCGTCCCTCATCACCTGGCTGCTCCATTATGTACCTGGCTATCTCATGATGGAGATAGAAAAAAAAAGGAAATTAATCCTTTCGATTGCCATTTAAAAGCCTGTGTATCTTCATCGATTTGGAATTTAAATTTGAATTAAATTTATAAATTATCCAATTAAAATTATTATAAAATAATTTATTTATGTTTTGTATTTGAATAGTGAAAAAATATTTACAAAAAATTGAACGAACAAAAAAATAA